ACAATTTACCTGCTAGTGCTAGCAGAGATCAGGCCTGCAGTTTTGTGTGCAATGTATTACGTGACAGTGATCTACTGATACTGCACTTGCTGGGGGAGAAGGGGGGGTTAAGTGTAGGGACTAAATGCAGGTGCTGGCAGGTACAGGGGCTGATCCTGCTAACGCTGCGCTTTTGGGGACACTATACTATTTTGAACGCTGGATAGTGCTGATCTGATCAAAGATATTGATCTGTTCAGACACTATACTAGCAATTGTGTATGTGAAAGTGTTCTTGGCAATCAAAGGGTTAAATGTAATGACTGATAGGAGCTGCAGGAATACTGTATTTTCCAAAAGCTTTACCCCAAAGTCAGGCATAAAGGCTCATTCACACATTTCTTCAATGACCAGTCTAAGGGTGTTGTTTTTTTTTTGTTTTTATTTTTTGAGAACTTGGATAAGTTGAGGAAATAAGGTGGGATACTCCAAAAACAAGAACTATGTACAACCTGAGGACTTGGGTATTCTTCAGAGCATGCTATGTTAAAGTCCATGCTTGTAAGAAACAGTAGACTTTAGCTACTGAGTACCTTTTTTTAGAAGGAGTTTTGATGGACAATGCTCTGCAGGATACCAGCCAATATTGCCTTTTAATAGACCCAGAGTTGACTCCCTTGCACCAGAGGGATTTTAGCAACACAAAGCTTCTAAGATCCTTTCAGAGGTGTCTGTACTCACAAGGCCTAAGGACAACTGGTTGCCCTCCTCTGTAATGCCAGACCAAATCTTCAGTAGATGGCCCCTCAGTCAGCTCTTAGCAGAACCCAGGTCTCAGCATTCAGGCTCTCAGGTCACTCACCTGAGGCCTATGACAGCAGATGCAACAACACTTCCTGGGAGAGCATCATGCCCCCCTCCAGGCTTGACCAATCCTATCCAGGAAAAGACCCAGAGCTCAGTGTGCTTACTGAATAAATATAGTATCCTAGCATGACATCAGAGCCTGTCTCTCTGGGGTAGGCCAGGGCTGTATCAATATTCATGCAGCCATCTGCATAGCTCCAAAACTATGATCCAGAAGCTTCTCAAGCTTTCTGGATGCAGAAAGAACTATCAGAATGGCAGCAGCTGAACACAATGAGCAGACCTAACTAGCAGAACACAGCAACATTGATCAAACTGTCAAAACACAAACTAAATCTTATCCTTATAAACCTAACACCTATCTAGGATGGTGCTACACAATTGTTACACAAGACGTATTGTATCTGAATGTTATTGAAGATGACCCTTCCTTTTCAATCTGCAGCAGATTTAATTTTTGAAAAAATTCAATGCAATATGGTCACCTGGAGACATTTTGTACACAGACGATGTATAGAATGCTCCCCAGAAATGTAATTTCCTTCTTTTGCGATTGGCTCACGGATTTTCCTTGAAGTCTGCACTAAGATACAAGCCAGATTGTTGGCATCCTCTGCAACAAAAATGTCGCTTTGAGAGACTCCCAAAGGGTTAGTCATGTCTAAAGGGATTTAGACTCTCCACTTTCCTCTTCAAAATCCTACAAGTGCATTGATAATGAAAACCACTTCCATTCATATTCACTTTGCACATGGACAGAAACACACATCTATTTCTTCAGAGTGACAAAAGGTAATAATTTACAACAAAGTTTGTTAAAATCCTTGCAATGTAGATAGATCACCCACAAGGGATTGTCTTTTTTTCCCCAACAAGAGTTGCTCTAAATAAGAGTTCTTTTTTTAGTCCTCCTTCACACAAATACATAGACATGGACAGGCATCAACAGTGGCAAAAAATCAATAGATTCTTTTGGCTGGGCTGACAGGTGGTTGTGGAAACTTTTGCTGCTCAACTTATACAAAGCAGTGACAGGCTGACAGGAGTCAAAGTTGTCGCATGTGTCCACATATCAAGCGGTTATCTGCGGTTAGAGACAAATGTCCATCCCTGGACTCATTTGTGCTATGGATGTGCAGATACTGTACATGCTGACAGCTGTGTCTCCTGTCAGCCTGTCATTTCTTTGTACAGGTTGCATGGCCACAGCTGTCTGCAGCCACTTGTCAGCCCAGCCACAAGAATCCACAGATTCTTGTCACTGTCTGTACCTGTCCATGTCTGTTTGTCCCTGTGACATTTGGACTGTGCATGTGTGGCTGCCAGTGTACAATTAGCAAACCAAATGGATTTTATAGTAGAAAAGACAATAAATGTTTAGCAATGTTTTACAAATTGACTTAATTCCACTTTAAACTCTTTAGAGTAGTTCTTTTATCTAACAATAGTTTTAAATAGTTTAATTGCTTTAACTATGTACAGTGTACAAAGTTAAGGAGTGCGCTATGTACACAATGCAGAGTTAAGAAGTGCACTATGTACAGGGTGCAGGGCTCAAGTGTGTGCTATGTACAGAGTATATAGTTAAGGAGTGTGCTATGTAAAGGGTGCAGGGTTCAGGAGTGTGCTATGTATAGGATGAAGGGCTCAGGAGTGCACTATGTACAGGGGCAGAATCAAGGAGTGTACTATGTACAGGGTGCAGAGTTAAGGAGTGCTCTGTATACAGGGTGCAGAGTATATAGTTAAGGAGTGTTCTGTGTAAAGGGTGCAGGGTTCAGAAGTGTGCTGTGTATAGGATGAAGGGCTCAGAAGTGCACTATGTACAGGGTGCAGAATCAAGGAGTGTACTATGTACAGGGTGCAGAGTTAAGGAGTGCTCTGTATACAGGGTGCAGAGTATATAGTTAAGGAGTGTACTATGTACAGGGTGCAGAGTTAAGGAGTGCTCTGTATACAGGGTGCAGAGTATATAGTTAAGGGGTGTGCTATGTAAAAGGTGCAGGGTTCAGGAGTGTGCTGTGTATAGGATGAAGGGCTCAGAAGTGCACTATGTACAGGGTGCAGAATCAAGGAGTGTACTATGTACAGGGTGCAGAGTTAAGGAGTGCTCTGTATACAGGGTGCAGAGTATATAGTTAAGGAGTGTTCTATGTAAAGGGTGCAGGGTTCAGGAGTGTGCTATGTATAGGATGAAGGGCTCAGGAGTGCACTATGTACAGGGTGCAGAATCAAGGAGTGTACTATGTACAGGGTGCAGAGTTAAGGAGTGCTCTGTATACAGGGTGCAGAGTATATAGTTAAGGAGTGTGCTATGTAAAGGGTGCAGGGTTCAGGAGTGTGCTATGTATAGGATGAAGGGCTCAGGAGTGCACTATGTACAGGGTGCAGAATCAAGGAGTGTACTATGTACAGGGTGCAGAGTTAAGGAGTGCTCTGTATACAGGGTGCAGAGTATATAGTTAAGGAGTGTGCTATGTAAAGGGTGCAGGGTTCAGGAGTGTGCTATGTATAGGATGAAGGGCTCAGGAGTGCACTATTTACAGGGTTAAGGAGTGTGCTATGTAAAGGGTGCAGGGTTCAGGAGTGCACTATGTACTGGATGCAGAATCAAGGAGTGTTCTATGTTCTGGGTACATAGTTAATCTGTGCACTATTTACAGATTGCAGAGTTAAGGGGTGCACTGTTCAGAAGTATGCTATGTACAGGATGCAGAGTTAAGGAATGCAGATCAAACAGACCAGTTTACCACCTCCCCCCAGCACACAGCACTCCCCCCAAGCCTACCCTTTGCTTCCACTACAGAGCTGCCCTTCCTCTCTACACCACCTAAAGAATACCAGAGATACTGTAGGAAAGAGGGCCCGCGTTGCCAAAGGGCAGCTAAAAGTTACTGTAGCAGTGTGCAGGCTGCTGGTGTGGGCTTTAGAAGGTGCTGCCAGCGAGACACTAGATATGTGCAAATCCCCTGCCCCCTCCCTCTTCTGCTCTCCTGGGGATACAGCAGAGCATGCACCACTGGGAGAGGAGTCTGCCACTTGTACACACAGAGGCCAAACTTCTGTGCATGCAAGTGACAGTAGCAAGTGGCAGACAAGGGGCTAGTGTCTGAGGTTGCGGAACTCCATTCCATCACATTTCGGCTGAAAAAAGCCCTGTACATATGGGGTGATTAGGATGTGCCCAGGCACACCCTGTGCATACACCTATAACTAATGATAAGTATAGATGGGCTTGTATTAGCTTCAGAACTGCTTCTTTCAGTATACGTTTATGTACATACATAACCAGCTGAAGTAGGTCCAATTCAAGTTAACAGCACCTGAAAAGAATTCTGAATGATTTCAGAGGAATGTCATACTGTGAACAGTACATTGCATTTGCCCATCGAAACTCATCAACTTTGACTCTAAACCATTTACTTGGTTTGATCTGGAAGGAAGTACTTTTCTTGAAAACTTATTTTAATATGCTGTCAGTTACAATCATGTCTCTATATGTACAGTACATACTATATATATATCTATCTATATATATATATATATATATATATATATATATATATATATATATATATATATATATATTGACTTTACCATGGTTTATTGCAAGATTTTGTGTACATTTTAATGTTCCAAATGATGAATTGTAAAGAGGCAATATAGTCATAAGCAAACCATTTTTCTCACATAAAAAAGGCATTTTATTAGCTTCAGTGGTTGTTGTGTCAGTAATACATTCTTTATCTCGGTTATAATAGTTTTATGTCTCCATGAAATGTACTGTAGCAGTTTAGAAGATACATTTATCTGTTTGTCCTTGAAGAATAAATATCAGCAAACTATTTCAAAAGGTATTTTCAGAAGTTAAGACACATCTGGTTTGAAACAAACAACATTCAGAGCACGTGTTTTTATGTGTGAGCCGCTCATGTTTATATTCCCTGCATTTGGTATATGTCAACTTCTGTTTGTCCTAAATTACAACAAAACCTTCAGAAAATTTGTTTTGCCATTTCATACAACGCATACTTGGTGTGAAACCTCTGAAAATAATATGCGCTTACATCTAAAGGTGTACTAGTTATTGCAATTACTGTATTTTTCATCTGTCCTTGCCACTTTCTAGCTTTTAGTTTATGTCTCAATTTTAGGCCCATGCGAAAAAAGCAGCATTGAAAGGTGGCTTAGAAAAAAACGGTTAGTCTCCGGAAGGATCTATCTGAAATGCAAGAATGGATAGCACAAGCTGAAGAGGAATATTTAGAGAGGGATTTTGAGTACAAAACACCAGAGGAACTTCAAAAGGCATTAGAAGAGCTAAAGGTATCTGCTTTAAATTTTTCATTAGGTGTTTTATTGCTGAAAAGTTTACCTTGTTGGAATAATTATTCAGTGCTGTATGGAAATAAGCTGTCACTGCTGACCTCTCCTGGAAATGCTACCTTTCTGGCTTACTTTCTAATTCAATGTCTTCAATACTTTATGAGGTTTTAGGCTTTAGGCACAAAGCTATATATAAGGAATAAAATTTTGTATCAGAAGAATATAACGGTCACTTTTTTTAAAAAAAAGTTTCCTTTTAGCTCTATGGATTGTGACAGTTACTAATCTGCATGCTTCTTCAGCATTTACTCAGAAAGTATTGAAACCAGGGAGCTAAGATTTTAGAAAGAAGTCAGCATTTGCTACCCTCTCCCTGTTACTGGGTTCCTTTCACTTAGGCTCAGGTACTGCTATGCAACATTGATGTAATTTAAATTGCGATTATGTGAAGTGAATTTGATTCGACCTTGCATATTCTATAGGACAAGTCACATGTTAACTCATACCAAAGCGGTGAGGGAACCTTATTCAAAATCAAACTATTGTGAATCGCATTGGTTAGGATGGGCACTATTGAAAACAGAGAGATTTCCCCTGTTATGTATGCTGAGAGTCTGCAGGAACCCGAGATTACACCCACGATCTTCTGATTGTTGGTGCAATGCTTTGCAGGCTCCTTAGAAAAAAAATAGCATTTGTTTACCTGTAAACAAATTTGCATTTTTAAAGATGTTAGTGGGGATTTCTGAGCAGATGATATTTTTTGTAGAGGAAATTGTAATAATTTATTTATAGATGTAATAAGATTTTATAAGAAACAAACTACTTTTAGAAAGTCAGTGCATTAAAATTGCAATAAAGTAAAGATATTGAAAATGTTGTAAGAATATGGTTAAAAACACATGCCCATAGGTTTAATATTATACACTAAAAATAAATATTTGTGATGGTAAGAATTCATTAAAGTATACAGTATGTGAACCCTCATCTTGTAAAACAACAATTTCAGTTTAAAATAGCCCTGAAAGGCAAAACGTGTGCATACATATAAAAAAAAATTATAAATACCTTTTTCCCCTCTTTTACAAGTAATCACATAATATCGATTCTCAGCTACATAGAGAGCTGAGGGAGGAGAAACAGCAGAGCACTGGTCTTCCCAGTGAATGGATTGCAGGGGGGAGTGTCACAAGAAACCTGATAATTGGAGGAGAGCACACAAGTTGCTTTAAAACCTTTATTTTGGCAACAAGTACTTTAACCACTAGCCTACAGGGCACTTATACCCCCTTCCTGCCCAGGCTGGGTTTTTTATTTTTTTAGTATTTTGTAAATAAGTGATTTTCCTCCTTCACTGATGTGCGCTAATGAGGCTGCAGTGATGGGCACTGATAGGCTGCACTGATGGACACTGATAGGTGGCACTGATGGGCACTGATGAGGAGGCACTGGTAGGTGGCACTGATGGGCATTGACAGGGATTACTGATGGGCACTGAAAGGCAGCACTCAAATATGGCACTGATAGGCGGCACTGATAAGCAGCACTTACTGGCAATGATAGGTGGCACTGACTGGCACTGTTAGGTGGCACTGACTGGCACTGTTAGGCGACACTGATAGGCAGCACTGACAGGCACTGATAGGTGGCACTGATGCACACTGATAGGTGGCACTGACTGGCACTCATAGGTGACACTGATTGGCAGCACTGCTAGGTGGCACTGACTGGCATTGATAGGTGGCACTGACTGGCACTGATGGGTGACACTGAAAGGCAGCTCAGATGGGCACTGATATGTGGCATTGATGTGCACTGGTAGGCACTGAAATGTGGCACTGATGTGATACTGATGGCACTGGCAGGTGGCATGGATGAGCACTGACCGCTAGCACTGATGGAGACTGACAGGTGGCACTGCTGGGGCTACGCAGATCGTCAGGGCACACTGATCATCAGTGCTCTGATGATCTCTGCACATGTCCCATCTGAGGAATGCCGATTACCGGCTCTCCTCTCGAGCCGCCAGCGTTGCAGCTCGTGAGGAGAGAAATGCCGATAACCGGCATTTCCCTGTTTACTGTACATGTGATCAGCTGTGATTGGACACAGTTGATCACATGACTGAGCCGACATCTTTGGCTCTTTCTGAGGTACACAGCGCACCGCCGATTGCCACGCTGCGCGCTCCCAGAGCCACGCATCCGCGGTGAGAATGGGAGGACGTCATATGATGTCCTCCCAGAACAAGAGAACCGCCTCGTGCCCATCATTGTACTATATGGTGGGTGGGAGGCTGTTAAAATATTTTTCCTCATCAGGCTGGTGCACCTCTGGCTGGGGCACCTCTATGTGGGCTGCACTTCCTGAGTGATTTTGTACAGAAACTTAAAATGGTTTTAAAAGCTGAAGGTTCATTACCTTGTTACGCAGGACTTTTGACAGTTCTTTTCTGATCCCCATGGCTCTGTATCTAGCCTAGTCAGTGCTTCCACATAAGAGCTAACAAACTCATTGACTATTTATACACTGACACTAATTGCAATTTAAAAAGCCACAGATGTGGGACATTAACCTCTAATTGGCATTTTAACCCGTGTGTGTCACCTTGTGCATCTGTACCAAGGCCAAACATTCCAGGAGATGTAAACCTTTGATTATGGCCATTTGGGTGATTTCTGTTATCATTATTAAAAATGGTATGGTAATTTAAAGGATTTTACAATGTGGAAGCCAAAAAACATTCCCTGTGTGACATTTTGTACAAGCATACACAAATGAATTGAATATATGCTATACTACTCACAAATTTTTTTGAATATGGTGAGCCAAACAACGATTTGATAATAAATGGCTTCATAAGATCATCATCCTTCATCATCCTTCAATAAAAGAGCATTTTGTGCATGATCAGTCATATTTTCAATATCATTGCCAAAATTTCACAATTTCTTCCATGGTATACAAACATTTGAGCACAACTGTAAGTGGATCACAACACCACCTAATGGCTGTAGTATATATAAAAAAAAGTCTTGCTATTATTATGTGCCCACTACTAATAATAAAAAATCATTAGTCAAAATAAAAAAATAAAATAACTAATAAAAATATGAATATTAAAAATGTACTTAACATCCTCTGTGACTGAAAATCACATAAATGCAATACAGTACACATACAGTAACAAATCCGAGGAAGAGATCATAATAACGATAAGATACAATTCAACTATTGTTGATAAAGCAGTTAATAGCCCACTCAATATTTGAATCCAAAGGAGCGTAAGTCTTGAGTCAGTATATCCAACTCATTTCAGCTTTAGAGATCGTTCTTTTAGCATTACTGCCTCTCCAATCAGGAATGTATTTCTCCACTGCAATAAAAGTAGTACCCTCAGGGTTATTATTGTGCTTTAAAGCATAATTCTTGGATACACTATGTCCCATATAGCCCTCTTTTATGTTAGCAATATGTTCACCTAGGGCAGTGGTGGGCAACCTTTTTTTTCAACTGAGCCAAATCTCGCCAAAACCACGATTGAAATTTATTTTGAGAGCCACATTTTTAAAACTGAAAATACATCCCCCATATAGTAATTCATCCCCCATATAGTAATTCATCCCCCATAGTAATTCATCCCCCATATAGTAATTCATCCCCCATAGTAATTCATTCCCCCATATAGTAATTCATCCCCCATATAGTAATTCATTCCCCATAGTAATTCATCCCCCATATAGTAATTCATCCCCCATATAGTAATTCATCCCCCATATAGTAATTCATCCCCCCCATAGTAATTCATCCCCCCCATAGTAATTCATCCCCCCTATAGTAATTCATCCCCCCTATAGTAATTCATCCCCCCTATAGTAATTCATTCCCCATATTGTGTCAATTCACTTACCTTTGCTCCGCGCGTTCCTCTCGCCGTGTTCCCCCGCGCTGTTCCGGTCTTCAGGGCAGACTGTGAGAGGAGAGGAGTTCATCACGCTGCCCCGCCTACATCCTGACAGCCAATGTTTGCCACGCTCCGCGGGCCGGATTAAAAGGTCCGCCGGGCCATAGTTTGCCCATTGCTGGGCTAGCTGCAGAGTCTTGACTTTTGGGGCGGCCGCCCGAGAGGAGGGAGGGGAGTGGGCGCCCGGCACACAGAAAAGCCGCATTTGCTGCTCCGGAGCCGCAGCAAAGGTGAAAAAGAGCCGCATGCGGCTCTGGAGCCGCGGGTTTCCGACACCCGACCTAGGGGAACATGAAGGGCATGTGTAGTGTGTCCTACATATTCTAAACCACATGGTCACCTCAACATATAAAAAACGTTTTTAGCTGCACATGAAATAAACAACCATATCTCATATGTTATACTGGTTTGCACAGTCACAAAATTTGTTATTTTCCTTCCTCTAAAAGAATTTATTCGACATGCTTTACACTTCCTACACAGATGGTAACTCTCCATTTTAGCAAAGAATACTGGCTTAGTGGGTGAGTTTGGCACATTTGGTGCTAATTTATTCCTAAGATTGCCCGCACCTCTTAAGATGACAGTGGGATGTTAGGGTAATATTAGGTCCAAATTTTGATCATTCTTCAGAACAGACCAGATGTTTTTGAATTATGTTTTTAACCACATAGTGTTGGCTTGAAAACGTACTAAAAAATGCCAAGCCAAAGCGATCAGAGCTGTTCTAAACAGACTCTTTATCTTTAATGAGATTTTCCCGATCATAGCATCCCACCTGCCACATCGGTTCATCGAAATCCTCTGCCCTTTTTTTTTCCAAAAGTCTTGACTTTAGTATCAGAGCTTCTTTTTCATAGTCCTCTCTAAAGTTACAATTGTGTCTAAGGTGCA